TGTCTTGAGTGTTTCCACTCTCGCGAACCTTCCACAGACCAAGAGCTTAGAACTTCACCCAGGGCCCCCGGCCGAACCGGCAAAGGGGGGCCTGCGCGGTCTCCCGGTGAGGAGCCCCACGCTCCGTCACAGTGGACCATCAAAATGATTTCCTTCTAGGATCAATGTTTCAATGTTTGGTAGAGTGTATCCAATGTTGGTTGGAATTCTCCCAAAAAGGTTGTTTACCCCTAGGCCAAGATAAGTCAAAGTCGAGATTGTGTAAAGAGATGGTGGAACTGTGCCGGTCAAATTGTTATAAGCCAAGTCTAATTCTTGTAAATATGGAATTTTGGTTATGCTATCTGGGATATTTCCTTGTAGGTTGTTTTGAGCAACTAACAAGGAAGATAGGGAACTCAGATTTCCCAATGCAGCTGGAATACCTCCAAAGATTGTGTTGTTTGTAAGGATGACATGCAGAATCGGTGCGGATATCAGTGGGGCAGAGGGGATTGACCATCTAATGAAGTTATTACTTGAGAGATCTAAGGAAAGAAGAGATGAGCTGTTGAAGAGGGCAGAAGGGATTACCCCACCAAGTTTATTTTGTGACAGGTCAAGGTATCTGAGTGATGAGCAATTCGCTAAGATAGGTGGAATACTACCAGTTAGGCTGTTATATGCAAGGACAACCATGGACAATGATGTTCTACTTCCCAAAGATCTAGGAATACTACCCACAAGCTTGTTATTAGCAAGCAAAAGATATTTAAGATTAGGCAGTGAACCGATCCCAGGAGGGATTGTTCCATTGAGGTTGTTATGGCTGAGAGCAATTTCTTGAAGAAGTGAACAATTAGCAAGGTTTGATGGGATCTCACCTTCGATGTTGTTGCTCCACATGTCAATGACCTCAAGGTGGGTACACGATGATATGGTATCCGGAATCATCCCTGTGATGGAATTCATGCCTAGGTTTAGGTTCCTGAGCTGGGTTAAGCGGCCAATCTCAGGAGGTATGTGGCCACTGATTTGGTTATCCGGCATGTAAATTGTTGTAAGGAAGCTCAGGTCGGCAATGCAAGGGGGTATTTGGCCAGTGAGGCTCAGTGATTTAAGGCGAAGAGCGACGACGCGAGCTGCACCCTGGTTGCTGCATGTCACCCCATGCCAATCACAGAATGCAAGTGACTCTTTTCTCCATGAGTCCAGGGCTCCCAAAGGATCAGAGAACTGTGATCTGAGACAAAGGAGGGCTTGCCGGTCGGCTTCTGATGTGTTATGGGTTCTGGATGGTGCTAATGAACTTACACAAGGACATGAGCTGACGATGAGGATGATAAGTATCAGAACAGGTTGTGCCAATAATGCTTTCTGGGCTGCTGCTGCTACAGGCATCTTGCTCTCCCTTTTGCTAGCTATAGCAGATTCCTTACAGATTTTGGTTTGATGAAACTGGAACATGCTGGCATTTATATAGAGCACAAGCCTAGTGACCACTATGAGCGTGTGAGAGGGGGCAGACAAGAATTTGAGTGGGTGATGCAGAAGAGAATCAATCCCTGGTTATATTGGTCACCAGTGACGACACAACTTTGTTTGTTTGGACTAAAATTTCTCTGTAAACTGTGGGTGTGTTCAGCTCATATACTTTGACTGTTTCCATAAAGCAACTTTTAGAGGCATTTTGAAGTGGCAGGTTGATGTCATTGTCAGCGTAGAGTCATAATCCACCACAATGCAACGCGCTCTTGATTCAGTACACAGGTCAGTCAAAAATTCACTATGTGGTATATATATCACTTAGATGGATAGTTATTAGGCCACCCGTCATATGTTTAGTTGTCTACTCCCCGTATGTGATCATTGGCATCCTTCGTACGTTTGGTTGTTTACTACTTCTATGTTTATAGAAGAAATCCCTTATATTTATAGTGCTCATTAGTACAAAATAATTGATATAGATTTTTCTGCCCGATATGTCCTAAAGTTTCATAAAAGATGTGTGAAAGATAGGGGTTTTCGTACAGAAAAATTTTTATGTAGTAGTGAGATGTATAAAAATTTTTAGTATAAATTTGATAGTACCTGTTAATACCGGAGTTACCAAATATTACGGGGGAAACTCTTGATACCTTATTAAGTACGGTATAATCACTCTAAATATTTGGGTTGAAGGGAGTAGTAGTACAGTTAGTCGCCGACTATTACATGCCCTTTTTTAGAATGACGACGAAGAAAATAGTTAAGCTGCCAAGTCGCCGTAACTGTTTAATTAGTGCACGGAAAACGAACGCCACAAATTAAAGCCAAAGAATCCACCAGTTGACCCTGAGTTTGGCCGGCTGAAAAATACATCCATCATATAAACAAGTGACTCGAAACATCCCTGGTATTGGCACAATGGCACTGAACTGCAGCATGTTGTGGTTTTGCCCATCTCTGTCGATGCCCTGGACTTCAAAAATTTACAGTCCACACTTATGCTAGCTAAGTGTATGTGCGTGTGTATATATATATATAAATATATATATATATATCCTCTAATCGACTTTGTCCTGCACTTGTGCTTCGTTATTCTGAAAGCTGAATCACAACAAATTTCCTAGACAAATTAAATTAGCTAGCTATAATTAATTGAGATGAACACGACAAGTTTCTTGCTCCAGATTCTGCTGCTGCTAGCGATGGTGATTCTTATGGCAATGGCAATGGAGCCTGCTGCTCCAGAGACAATGGCGCGACGATCTCCCGGTAAGTTTTATTTGATTTTCTCATGCTGCACAGGCCACGGAATCTGAAATTATTTGTACGAGGTTTGCTCCAGTTCAACAAAAAGTATCTCGAGGTATCGGTATCTCACGATACCAAATCGTTTCCGATCGTTGGATCTAGCTAAGAAAAATGGTCATTATTAGATCTAACGATTGAAAACAGGAAACGATTTGGCACCGTAAGGTATCGGTATTTTGAGGTACTTTTGGTTGTTATGAAGCAAATCTCTATTCGTATGCATGTTTTTTGGCTGTGTTCTTCCCTCAAGATTCATGACCTCATCTATCTCGTTTTTTGTGCCTACGCTTTCTAAACTACTAAACGGTACGTTTTTTTTAAGTTTCTATATGAAAGTTGCTGTAAAAATCATATTAATCTATTTCTCAATTTTTTTTTAAACTAACACTTAATTAATTATATGTTAATTCGTCACTTCGTTTTGTGTGCAAAGCAGAGCATCTTGCTGCCATGTGTTCATTCATGTAGAGCAATTTTGGAACTTTTTCATTTGTCAAAAACTTTTGGCCCACTTGCTTTGCATTGCTTCATGTCTGCGTCATTAATTTTAGCAGCATGCATGTAGATCTATGTATTTATCATAATTTAAGAATTGAAGTGATTGATTATTGGTCTCTGAAACTATTTTGATTTTGGGATTTCTGTGCAGGAAACGTGAATGCTAATCACGACCCGTCCAAACAATCTGGTTCTGCAGTGCACCCCCTCAATACACCATGCAACTACCCAGGACAAGCTGGTTGCCCTCATTGATAGTTCGTGCTACTCAGAAAAAGATGAAATTAAATAACAGATTACAACAATAAGCGCCAATACATGAGCGTCTGGTTATCGACCTCGATGTGTCCAATTAAACCTTGTACTCGACCTGATTTTCACCTAATGAACGAGTGCTTTCCGCTACATATTTTCCCTATTTTTTATGGTTGCTACAAATGCATGGATGCATATTACACACATGTCGATCAGATCGCGCGAATGATGAGAAATAATTTCGTGCAAAAATTAAATACGGGAATGCGGCAATTCTCGTCAAACCATGCAAGACCTATCAAATTTTGTTTGAAGAAATCATTTGGGTGTGGAAAATCTCTCTCAAGGTGATCCTCCATTCTGTGCAACCATACAGGTGAAATTCGTAGTCGATGGAGAGAAGAAAGACAACAAGATCAGGCCGCGCAGACGTACGATCAGTGAGGAATGATGGCAGTGCGACGGCAGCCACCATTCGTTGCTCTCCTCAGCAGGGTTAGCATGCAATGCATTCCCGATGCCTCACATGTCCATCTACGAATTTTTTTTTTAATAATGGAATGAAACATTTCGGCCTTTGCTCATCAGAGCTACAGCTAATGTTGATCTACGAATAAATACCGAAAAAGATTTATCACTGTTAGAGTATATCACCATATGTAACAAACGTGTGATTAAGATCAGGTTCGGCCGGCAATCTAGAGGATATAGCTAGCTGTGTTTGTTAGGATAATGCCAGCTGATCTTATCTAATCATACGTATATATATGTACTCCCATGCACCGTTTGAGGTGCTTAATTAACACGCAGCCGTCGACCCTAGCGTGAAGGGCGACGTTCCTATCCATCGTGTTTTCCCACATGGTATCAAAGCGCTGAAGTTAGATCCCATCTGCCATGGCTAGCTCCTCCTCTTGCACCTCCTCCACAACAAATCCCTTGTTCGGCTTCCATGTCTCTGAGAAGTTGAACAAGCAGAATTATCAGCTATGGTGTGCGCAAGTGCTGACTATGATTCGCGGAGCACGCCTTGAGGGGCACCTGAACGGCAAGACCGTCGCTCCTATCAGCTATGGTGTGCGCAAGTGCTGACTGCGATTTGCGGAGCACGCCTTGAGGGGCACCTAAACGGCAAGACCGTCGCTCCTACCACCCAGATCGAAGCTGAATAGAAGAAAGAAGATGACAAGGCGAAGGCCAAGATCAAGATCGACAACCCAGCGTATGAAGAGTGGTTTGCTGCGGACCAACAGGTTCTCGGCTTCCTCTTTTCATCGCTGTCAAGAGAGATACTATCCCAGGTTGCCACGGCAACCACGGCGGCAGAAGCATGGACGATGATCCAATGAGATGTTCAACTCCAGGACACGCGCACGTTCTCTCAATGTGCTGTTGTCCCTCACCAGCACTAGGAAAGGAACTCAGACAATCTCTGAGTACTTCGCCAAGATGAACTCACGGCGTCAGGAAAACAATGCGATGCTGAAGAACTAACTGCTTTTATTTTGAATGGATTAGATGATGATTATGATTCTGTTGTATCGGCTCTAGCAGCCAAAACTGAACCTATTACTCTGTCAGAGACATATGCACAACTTCTGAATTTTGAGAACAGGCTGAACCTACGGTGAGAAGGCAATCTGACGGCCAACGCAGCAGGACGTGGTCGCGGCAACACTCCAAGTAACCGCGGCGGCAGTGGCGTCGGCCGCGGCAACGGTGCTCGTGGTGGCTTCAATGGTGCTGGTGCCAACTCCGGCCGTGGAGGCCGGGTCATGGACAACAGCAGCACTCCGGCAACGACACTCGGCCTGTGTGCCAGGTGTGCTACAAGCGCGGGCACGTTGCTGCAGATTGTTGGCACAGGTACGACGATACCTATGTGCCAGACGAGCGTCATCTCGCTGCAGCCGCCTCCTACGCCTATGGTGTCGACTCCAACTGGTACATGGACTCGGGGGCAACAGATCACATCACCAACGAGCTGGACAAGCTCACCGTCTGCGACAAATACAAGGGAAATGATCAAGTGCACACGGCCAATGGAGCAGGTATGAAAATCGAGCACATCGGTCACTCTTTAGTGCACACCCCCATGCGCAATCTTATTCTCAAAAATGTTTTACATGTTCCACAAGCTACAAAAAATCTTGTTTCTGCATCTAAACTTGCCTATGATAATTCTGTATTCGTTGAACTTCATGGAAAACATTTTTTGGTTAAGGATCAGGCTACGAGGGAAACAAAGCTTGAGGGAAGGCGACACAAGGGTCTCTATCCACTTCCATCTCCATCTCCTCCAAAGGCAGTCTATGGTGTGGCACCATCTTTTGCAACATGGCACAGTCGGCTAGGGCATCCATCGAGTCCAATAGTGTCTAAAGTTATTAGTACAAATAATCTACCTTGTCATGACAAGGCTAGCAAAGAGTCTGTGTGTGATGCATGTCAGATGGCCAAGAGTCATCAACTTCCTTATAATAAATCTACTAGTGTCTCGCAATTTCCTTTGGAGCTTATTTCATCTGATGTTTGGGGACCTGCCCCCATTTCTGTTGGTAGAAATAAATATTATGTGAGTTTTGTGGATGATTATAGCAAGTTTACCTGGGTGTATCTCCTTAAAGCAAAATCAGATGTTTTTCGGGTCTTTCATGAATTTCAAGCCCTTGTTGATAGAATGTTTAGTCAAAAAATTATTACCATGCAAACTGATTGGGGTGGCGAATATGAGAAACTCCATTCCTTTTTTCGACAAATAGGCATCTCTCATCACATTTCATGTCCACATACTCACCAACAAAACGGGGCAGTAGAACGAAAACATCGTCATATAGTAGAAGTGGGTTTATCTCTTCTTGCACATGCATCTATGCCACTAAAATACTGGGATGAAGCCTTCCTAGCCGCCACATACATTATTAATCGAGTCCCAAGCAAAGTCATTTCTTTTGAAACACCTCTAGAACGCTTGTTCCATAAAAAGCCTGATTATCCTGCTCTTAGAACCTTTGGGTGCGCCTGCTGGCCTCATTTGCGTCCCTATAATAATCATAAACTCCAATTTCGGTCCAAGCAATGTGTGTTCCTCAGCTATAGCCAGCTCCATAAAGGCTTTAAGTGCCTTGATATCTCCTCTGGGAGAGTATATGTTTCACGAGATGTGATTTTTGATGAAACAGTGTTTCCCTTTTCACAATTAAAATCAAATGCAGGCGCCCAACTAAGAGCAGAAATAGCCTTGCTTCCATCTGATCTTGTAGCGCATGATCAAGGGGGAGAGCAACAGAGTGATCATGTACTTGATTTTCCTAATGCCACTAATGGTTTGGATGATTCTTCCAGCAGTACAGATTTTTGTGGTACAGATGAACGCGTGGACCTAACACATTCGGCAACGGCATCGGATGGAGTGAATGGAGCGGGAAACTCCACTCCGGGATCGGTGCCTGACGTGACCAGGGAGACAGCGCAGGCGCCGGAACAGCAGCAACATGGCGAGGATGCTCAACCCCACTCAGCCAGCGAGACGTTTCCAAGCAGCTGCACTTCATCGGCTAGACCTGTACCACACCAGACCGTGCCTGCACTGGGTCATGATCTGACCGGTACTAGTGCTGACACTTCCACTGATGGCGTTGCTGTGCAGGACATCGAGCAAGGAGCTGAAGGCGAGCTCGACTTAAACAGACCCAGAACAAGGCTACAAGGAGGCATCAGAAAACCTAAGGTGTATACCGATGACACTGTAAGGTACTCCTGCTTCACCTCTACAGGTGAGCCCTGGAGGATAAACACTGGAAGGATGCAATGGATGCAGAGTATACAGCCTTAATGAAAAATAAAACATGGCATCTCGTTCCTCGATAGGAAGGTAAAAATATTATTGATTGCAAATGGGTATATAAGGTTAAGAGAAAAGCTGATGGAAGTCTAGACAGGTATAAGGCTAGATTGGTAGCAAAAGGTTTTAAACAACGGTATGGTATAGATAACGAAGATACTTTTAACCCTGTTATTAAAGCTGCTACTATCAGAACTGTCTTGTCTATAGCTGTGTCCAGGGGTTGGAGTCTACAACAACTGGATGTTCAGAATGCCTTCCTACATGGAGTTCTAGAGGAGGAGGTGTACATGAGGCAGCCACCTGGGTATGAAAATTCCTCTAAACCAGATTTTATTTGTAAGTTGGATAAAGCCTTGTATGGTCTAAAACAAGCACCAAGGGCTTGGTATGCAAGGCTAAGTGGAAAATTGCAACAATTAGGCTTTAAGCCATCTAAAGCAGACACATCTCTGTTCTACTTCAACAAAGGCAATGTAACCATGTTTATCCTGATATATGTGGATGATATTATAGTAGCCAGTTCCACCAAGGATGCAGTGCCAGCTCTTCTACATGATCTAAAGGAGGATTTTGCTTTGAAAGACCTAGGAGAGCTTCACTATTTTCTTGGCATTGAGGTCAATAAGGTAAACAATGGTTTAATATTGACACAAGGTAAATATATATCTGATTTGTTGAAAAGAACAAATATGGCAGATTGTAAACCAGTAAATACACCTCTATCAACTACAGAAAAGTTGTCTCTACATGAAGGTGATTTACTAGGACCCAATGATGCTACTCAGTATAGAAGCATAGTAGGGGCTTTGCAGTATTTAACTCTGACTAGGCCAGATATATCATTCTCTGTTAATAAGGTCTGTTAGTTTCTTCATGCTCCTACAACAGTTCACTGAACAGCAGTTAAAAGAATCTTGAGGTACCTAAAATATACGTCAAGTTTGGGTATTAAATTTAATAGATCAGTGTTTACTCTTGTTAGTGCCTTTACAGATGCAGATTGGGCTGGTTGTCTTGATGATCGACGATCTACAGGAGGATTTGCTGTATATCTTGGCTCCAACCTTGTGTCATGGAGTGCAAGGAAACAAGCTACAGTTTCAAGGTCCAGTACAGAAGCAGAATACAAGGCATTAGCAAATGCTACAGCTGAGGTAATGTGGATTCAGAGGCTGCTAAATCAACTTGGCATTCAAGCACCAAGGTCAGCGAAAATTTGGTGTGATAATATTGGAGCCAAGTGTTTGTCAGCTAATCCAGTTTTTCATGCTCGCACTAAACATATAGAGGTGGATTATCACTTTGTCAGAGAACATGTTCTGAACAAGCTGCTTGAGGTTGAATATATTTCTTCCGGTGATCAGGTAGCTGATGGATTCACTAAACCACTTGCGGTGAAACAATTAGAAATGTTTAGAAACAATCTCAACTTGAGAAGTTTAGATTGAGGGGGAGTGTTAGAGTATATCACCATATGTAACAAACGTGTGATTAAGATCAGGTTCGGCCGGCAATCTAGAGGATATAGCTAGCTGTGTTTGTTAGGATAATGCCAGCTGATCTTATCTAATCATACGTATATATATGTACTCCCATGCACCGTTTCAGGTGCTTAATTAACACGCAGCTGTCGACCCTAGCGTGAAGGGTGACGTTCCTATCCATCGTGTTTTCCCACAATCACCATAATATCTAAGGATTTATCGAGTACGCAGCTAGGAAATCGAGCAGGGCTTCTGGATGATGTGGCTAGCACGCGAGGGCCCTTTTATAGTCACACCTTTTGCCATTTTCAATATGCTTCAGCCTTCAGCAATTACTGATGGGAGAATTGGCACTGGTGGGAACTCTGGTAAGGAGAATTGCCATTGTCCATTTGTTTATATACAGCCCGTTATGTACTTTGTATTTTCAATGTTATGGCATGTTAAAAATGTTATTATCCACAATGTGGACACATCTTTAATACCTTTTTTCACCAGCAAATTAAATCAGAGTAAACATATTACACATGACACCGTAGAAAAATTACTGCTTGCTGGAATGCAGCTAGAAAAGTTCAGCAAGTAATGAATTGACACAAGTTTTTTTACTGTTGCTATGATAATTTGTTAATCAAGACCTAACAGTAGCAACATGATCCAGGAGGATAGTAATTTGACTTGAAATGGGAGGTTATATAGGATAGTGAACTTTTGTTTGAATTGGAAATGGGAGGGGAAGGGAATGGGAGGACGCGGAGTGAGAACTGGAAAAAAAACAAAAAGAAAAGGACAGATCCGAGTTATGAATATTCCCTCTGCTTCAAATTATAGCAACATGGTACTGGATTGGTATATATTGAGACAAAAGGTAATAGCATGCAATGCCTTATTTGTTAGAGTAAAATTCAATTTAGCCCGGTTCTTATTGCCAATGTGGCTTATTTATGAGGCAAAATTGCTACATGACACTCAAAATTTGTGTAATTTGCTGATAGACATTGAAAAAACGTGTCACGGCTGAAAGACATAGTAAAAAACTAGTAATTTACTAGAGGACACTTTTGGCTGAATTGGATTGATAAATTCTTAATAAAGACGATAATGTCCCTATAAGACCACATACTTCAAACATGATGTTAGCGTAAAAAACTTAAAAATTATGCAACTCTAAATTTGCCATCACCCAAGTACATCACAAGCATACATTGTATTCCATCTTCGTTGCAGTCTCGGCTCAAAAAGATTTGGACTCTAGTGGTATTCTTGTCTTTTTAAAGAATTTCTCTCTCCAATTGAGCTGAAAGTGTCCTGTCGGCAACTTACCGGCTTTTCAGAGTGTCTTTCAGCCGTGACACGTTTTTACGATATCTACCAGCAAATTACACAAAATTACACAAAATTTGAGTGTCCTGTAACAATTTTTGCCTATTTATTAGAGTAGATTTACAAAACTTGAGCCACTGCGCTAATTCATTTGCATAGGTTGGTACTGGTTGCTAGGTGCCAATCCACAGCACCAAGAGTCCAAGATTCCCATGTTCGGTTTGGTGGAGGCCTTGGCCATGAGCAGCGGCGACCTGACGTTATCAGGATCATTGTCGCATTGCTGCAATATATATAATCCTCGTTTTGAAGGGAACCTCTCCTTTTGCTTTCTTGCAGCTAGCAGTGCCGCTCGAGCTGCAGCACCAGGTGACCTGCGATTTTGCCTCGATTATTTGCTGCCAATTTTTCACTCCGCATCGTCACGCGGTCTGACCGGATTCATCATCTTCTGTCCGTCGGTGTTTTCGTGCAATAGGGAGTAAAGGCCGTGTTTTAGTTCGTGTGCCAAGTTTTTTTAAAGTATACGGACACATATTTAAAGTATTAAACGTAGACTAATAATAAAAAAAATTACAGATTCTGCTTGTAAACCGCGAGACAAATTTATTAAGCCTAATTAATCTATCATTAGCAAATATTTACTGTAACATCATATATCAAATTATGATGTAATTAGGCTCAAAAGATTCGTCTCGTAATTTATACGTAAACTATGCAATTGGTTTTTTTTCGTCTATATTTATAGCTCTACATATGTGTCCAAATATTTAATGTGTGTCCAAATATTTTATGTGATGGAATTTTTGAAAGTTTGAAGGGATCTAGACGCTGCCAAAATCTGGCTGTGTGATGGGCGTATGGATGCCAGAGGCCGTCTTGGAGGATGCGAGCGCTAAGTCTGGTCACCGGTGCTACCTGATGTGTGAGCAAGGAGAGGACGACGTACTGGAGCGAGATAGCTGCGAAGATGCATGGTTGCAATACATGGTTAGAAATCCTGGTCCAAACTGAAAACACAACACTTGCTATATATGCATCGGTCCAATATGAAAATCTGATGACAAATAAGCATGGCCCAAGATGAAATTTACTCTATTTATTATATATGTTTAATTGTACTATTTGTCGCAAGTATATTTTAAAAAATATTGATGGATGGAGCTTTCAAAGTTTAATAAAATATTGTTAAAAATGTTACTAAGTTTCCCAAAAAAAAAACGTTACTAAGTTTGAGAGGAATGACTGATATATAGAATTAGAGGAAGTACTAACAAAATTTTGATCTAAACATTAAGTATTTAAATATTTATATATGTTCGGAGGGAGTAGTACAGTTAGAGTCTGTTTAGTTGTTGCCTAACATTGCCATAACTCAATTTGCTATAGATGTGGCATGGCAAACAATTTGTGGCCACAAGTGTGGCAATGTTTGGCTAGAAAATGAGTATACGACATGTAAGCCCATGAAACAAAAAAGTGTGGCTTGCCACAACTGAAACAAACAACCAAACGCTAAGCTAACAATCTGTGGCATGCTTAACATGTGGTGTGGATGTGTGGCACCAAACCAAACAGCCCCTTTTCACCAGCAACTAAACAAAACAAAGGAAAATTTTGTTCCCTTTTTTATTCCTTTGACAAAACAAAGAAAATTACGCTGCCAAGTCGTGGTAACTGATTAATTAGTACACGGGAAACGAACGTCACAAAGGAAAAGAATCTTCCAGTAGGCCCTGCGGGTGGCCAGCTGAATAATAGAGCCATGCATGCATGTAAACAAGTGACTCGACCTTCCCTAGTATATGACACTGATCAGAATGTAATTACTTTGCATGATGCTTTTGCCTAACTCTGTGGATGCCTTGCACAGTCCACACTTATGCTAGCTAAAGTGTATATATATCCTCTAATCGACTAGCATGGTAGATATATAACCCGCATGTATGCATCTTTGTTGTAAACTTGTGCACTTGTGCTTCCTGCTCCTCTGAAAATTAATTATTCAATCAGCACAAGTTTTCCTAGGCAAATTAATTAGCTATCTAACTGATTAAGATGCATACTACTACTACTACTACAAGTTTCTTGCTCCAAACTCTACTTCTGCTAGTGCTGGTGATTCTTCCGTCCACAATGGCGGACATTGCGGATTCTACTGCTCCAATCGGTTGCCAGAGCTGCTTCTGCGATGAAGCCGCAACACCGTCAGCAAACGAAGGGCAGATGCAGTTGTCGATTCAGGCTGCAACAGGCAGACGAGGGCGTCCTCCTTTCATCCCCCATTGCGATGGAAATCCTCGTAAGTTCGTTGCTTCATGAATCCATATGTATATATGTATCTGTTTTCTCATGCCATGCATCCGTGTACAGCAGTTTCGAAACTGTTTTTGTTCGTTAATAATTCTTCTTGTTTTATGTTTAATTAGCGCGTGGCACGTAGACCAAGGTATATTCATTTGGCCTGTTTAGTAGGGTTTCAACTCTTAAATTTAACTCGAATAGTTAAGTTTGGAGTGAAGTTGTCGAGCAGCATAAACCATCTCTACCTGTTTAGTTCATTATTTTGTGAAAGTACTGTAGCCCATTTCACACCATTTTGGATAGAGCGGAAACTATTTGGTTGGACTCTAGTTCTAGAAAAGATTGGGCTGGAGCTCAAACTCTACCAAACAAATCTTGAAGTATAATTCTCAGTGCATGGACCTTTGCTTGATTTTGGAGTTCCTGTGCAGGAAGGGTGGGTGATAGCTCTGATCCGTCCCCTCTACCTGGTTCTGCAGTGCACCCTCCCAGTACACCTTGCAACTACCCAGGCCAACTTGGTTGCCCTCATTGATATATAGTTCGTGCTACTCAGAAGATGCTGAAAGTAAATATCAGACTTATTACAATAAAGCGCTCATACATGTATGTTTGGTCATCGATCTCGATGTGTGAAACCTTGTACATCCCTGATTTTTCACCGAACAAACGAGTGCTTTCCGCTACATATTTTGCCTATTTTTGTGATACTATGTGTACATGAATGAATGTTACCATGGAAATTGTGAGTTGTGACACGACGGATCACCCAAATACCGATAAATCACGCCAATCGAACTATATTTGTATTATTTAGTATGAAAATCTCTAGCTTGTGTTGTTTCTGTTAGATTGATCTCTGGCCACCGAGTCAGAGAATTGCGCAATCACACCAACGTGCTCCTAACGTTTTGAGTACCGATTCCCTCGGTCTCGAGCGCATGTTGCTCTCTCTCGCGCGATGATCGGACACGCTATCTACGTAACGGACCCGCCCCCGATCCCCTCAACGCACACACATATAAAGGGAATGATATCCCGTTGGTGACGATCGACTTACGGCATACCCAAAACCAAACTGTCAGACTATCGATCTTAAGGTGCGTTGGAGGGGAACGAAGGGCGAATTCCATTGCCACTACCGCACAGTGATGGAGATCTTAAGGTGCATTGAAAGGGAATGAAGGGCGAATTCCATCACCATTGCTGCACATTGATCTCCATCACTGGCGGTCTACTACCAGTACACCGACACATCTAATGGCTTGATCAAGATCCGATCAATAAACCACCAAATTCCGCATAAGAAATTAGGTGATCATGCATAGCCTAAGTGCATGATTTTAATATTTAATTCATTGGTTTGACAATCCTTTTGTCCTTATTGCCATAGTTACAATTTTGCATCAAGACCATTTGATCACTAGTCCGATCTACTATATAGTATAGGGTAGTATGGTCTACCGTAAAGCAACTTAAAAAACAAATATGGTGTCAACATCATCTTGTCCTTCATGATCTATCATTGCATGGTTCGACAATTCTTATCTCCTTATTGCCATAGCTACGATGTTCCATCAAGACCTTTGATCGCTTTTGGTTTTCCTCCACTTATACAATGTATTATAATGCAATGCCGAACCTTGTTTGACACCTTAAATTTCGTTGGACGAACGCATTAGGGTGTAAGTGAAAAAGCTCTCCTATCTCGGTGATCGATCTTTCATGGGAAAAAAAGGGAGACTCTCGATTATGTGCTATCATACATGTGAAATATTTAGTCGATCAAGGGAAAGAAATCAAGAGCAAGCCACGGACACATGATTAGTAGCAAGCGATGGCACCAATATCACTGCTGTAATCCAGCAAGATAGATAGCCACGTGATTGGATGCAATACAGTCCTGATGCCTCGCATGTCTATATAAAATTAAACTCTGGAAACATTTATCACCACAATATCAAGGATATACCGAGTGTATCATCACATGATACAACTTTGAGTAGGAAATCAGACATGACTCCGGGTTGATGTGGCTATATAGCACGAGGGCCCACTTACAGTCACACCCTTTCGTTTTTTATTGTTTCAGCAATTGGATACGCATTTGGCACTGTTCAAGTTAAGCTACGATATGACGAAGTGACCAGGTGAGTGAGAACGCATAAATGCAACTAGGCGTGTGTGATGAGAATGTGAGACGCATATCAAGCGTGCATGATGTTATTATCTCCTAGTTAATCTCTTGGTACCAAGTATTGTTACTAGATGGTACCAAGAATATGTTAGCTCATCAACTCACCTTTGGAGCGGATTAGATTCTGGTAGTGACACTTGCCTGTTTTGGCACAGCTTCAGCTCCAGCTTCATCACCTCTAGAGTCGGAACCCAACCAAACAGTTTTAGCTCCATATCTGAAATGGGAGCAGAGCTGGGTTTAGGAATCTCTATAACTCTACTCCAGACTCAACTCCTAAAGCTAAATTTAGGAGTTAAAGCTCTACCAAATAGTCCCGAAATCATACGTAAAAGGCGTATGATGGAGTGATGGATGGAAATGGAATCGATCGCCAGCTAGTTCAGTACAATCACACAAGATCCATCGCAATTCCCCCGCAAAAAAAAAAAAGATCCATCGCAATTCAGGATCGTGCCGCGCCACCAAATTTGTTCTCCAAGCCCAGTCGTCCGGCCCACTCTTTCTGTATAGTCTATCTGGCCCATACTCTATCCAGTCCAGTTCTATCTGGCCCATATTCGCTTTAGACAGCCACACTTGCCTTGGATATTCAGAGCTCCCCTGTAGCATCATGTGTCTGCTCGGTTCTCCAAGTCAATCCCTCAAAGTTGGCTACTTCACAATTAATGACAGTACAGTGTGCTGCTCTAATCACAAAATAATTCTATAAATATCAAGAACCAATATGTTCTTGATACCATGAAGGTGCGCGAGAATATCTGACGAAGACCAGAGCTCAACTTTTTGGAGGATAAAATATGCCTAATGCCTCACATACCTAATCAATATATTATATACGTACTCTACTAACATACAAAACATGAAATGACCGACCAACAAACACGTCTCAATCGATCAGATCCTAGGTAAGCATGCATGTAGTTCTTTTGTGAGGCAGTCCTAAATGTAAGGGCTATAACGTCTGTGTGTTATTTCTCTTCTGTTATGTATGGACCTTTTTCTATGGGGAAGGGTATCTTTTCCACATAACATCAAGCTACCAATTAATGCAGTAACTACATATCTATATTAAAGTAAATAATTACTCCTGTACCCACTGGCAATTAGATGTCCTGGTGTTCTCTCACGCATGATCTAGTATTACCCCTTCGTTATTATAGTGTAGTAATCCCTTCGTTATTATAGTGAAGTAATTTCTTTGTTACAAAAGGACAGTTGCTTCATAAAGTCAAAGCCATATCAATAATTGGCTGTACCAGTCACAACAGGCAGTAATGAGATGTAGCTTAATAATTGGTTGTACCGTGCTTGATAGCAACGATGAGCGCGGTGGTGCTTGAACACAAGGATGAAGAGTATAATGCACGGTTTGCGGTGCTCTATAAGCATTTTACATTGGTGTTGTGTGGGAGATCAATCTTATCTTTTGAGATAAGAAAGCTCGCAGTAGAAGTCTCAATGATACCATGAAGTTTCCAGCCCTTGCTGAATTTACACATACAACCTCTCTCTATTGGCTTGCACCAAAAGGCCAATTTGTGTTGTAGGCATGCAAACTTGGTGGGCCAAAAGATCCTGATACCTCACAATCCTAGCCGCCTCTGGTATAAACCAATGAAAAACATTATTCTCCTTCAAAGTGTTTTTATCATGGAAAATCAAATTTGCTTTACTCGAGGAGTATGTAGGTCACCCACCTAGTTATGTGCTTGGAGAGATAGCTGTCTGTTACTCTGTTTCATGGTTTACCTATATCAGTCTTGAAATGTTGCAAGTGAATAGGACTGATCAGCATCCGCCGTCTGATCAATGATTTGTGGTGTAGATTATGCAGGAGTCCTTGCCTCGTGAATTAGGGGCCTGGAAATCCTCACGGCCCAATAGGCTTCTACTTATGCACCTCTTGTAGTCATATGGTTGGAGTCCGGAGAAAGGAGATGGTATCATTGGCAATAGATGCAGAGGCGGAGGAAGAGGTTAACTCCAGACGATTTCACGAGGCTCTGTGGCTGGGATATGCCTCTGCCGATGGACACGAAGGCAACGTCGGATCCCAGTTGGTGGATGCCGTGTTGGTGCCACCGATGCACCTGCAGATACCGTCAAATCCTAGTATTTTTCTTGCTTCCATTGCTACTTTTCTGTGGAGGACACTCGGACTTTATATTATTGTTGCTAATTGAAATGAACATATCAAGTTAAGTGGTTCACTTACTCTCCCCTTGGCCGAATGCAAAAGTCATGTGGTCTCTTAGGAGGCCCACCTAAAAAAATAAACTTATTTTTGTAGGCGGATCTATTAAGGGGCCACATGAGAAAATGTATTTTTCTTACGACCCGTGAAACTTCCTTCGAATATAATTTTTGCAGGCACGACCTGTTACAACCTGCCTATAACCTTCGTATAGAAAAATCGTTTCTGTAGTAGTGTATACTGCGTGCTTCAGGAAAAGAAAAACCCACCATAATTGAGGCAGATCCTCGGCGGGGACCCTGCCCTAACGAAGAAGTTGGTTATACTCGATTTTTCTATAGATATTGAGGCCACTTAATTTTCGTTACCAAAGCTTGAGCTGCTATAGAAACATGAGTTGACAGTAGAAAATCAATTCTACTGTATGAACACTGTCTTAATTTTCATGCAACAACCAACTATAATTTACTCGGCTAAACTTAGTTTAGTTAGTGGAAAGCTTGATTGAGCATAAACGTATTTTACTCATCAAGCCATACACAATCACTGGTGGAGAAACCATCTTTGATCGGTCGGCCCAATTCCACAATAGTCTCGGTTCCAATAAAAACCGGGACTAAAAAGCATCTTTAGTCCCGGTTTAAAAGCTGAGGGTTACCAACCGGGACTAAAGATCATTTTTACTTCCGGTTGAAGAGGTTGTCAGGTCGTGTCAGGCCCTAATTATTTTTAGTCCCGGTTGGTATAAACAACCGGGACTAAAAATTACCCCAAGCCGCGTGCAATGTTTATCTCTTCGCGTGTCCATTGTCTGACCCTCCTCCTCAGTCTTATCCTTAACTTTTCTTCCCCTCCACTTGTTCTCCTCCTCACTCCTCCTCTTCCTCCTCCCCTTCCTCTCTCCCCTGTCTTCCTGGCGGCAGCAGGCGGTGGCCGGCGCGGAGGGCCGGCGGCGGATAAGGATGGGTTTTGAACCGGTGTTAAGGATGGGTTCCCCAGCAGTGATAAAAACTGCCTTAGAAAAAAATATTTTAAAGCTTATCTTTCTTCAGCTAGTAGTTTTTTTTTAACAGGACTTGTACTAACTGCCTGGTAAATTGCTTCAGGATAGGTTTTCTCTCGTCGAAAGATATATATTCAAATACTCCCTCCATCCCAAAATAAATGCAGTTTTCCATTGTTCATATTCAACATTTGACCGTTCATTTTATTTAAAAATTTTATAGAATTAGTATTTTTATTTTTATTAGATGATAAAATATGAATAGTATTTTATGTGTGACTAATGGTTT